CGATATTGACCTCAAATGCTTCCAAATGCATTAAATATGGCTTGGGGAACAGTTCAAAATGCCAAATAGAGTCTTTTAAAGTCAATTAAGTTGAGCTGGAGCCAAAAGGGGTCACTAAGTCAAACTAGTCCGGCTAGAGGGTGCGTGTACTTTAACGCTCAAAGGTGCAAGGCGTGGGCCGAACACGAATGGGTTGTTAAGCTACATTTTCCCACTTCGAGCTAGATCAAATTCCCTTACTTCTAGAATATTCTTCTAATAAGATTCACTGATTGAAAAAATTATTTTAGAGATCAAAAACACAATTCTTTGACCAGAAAGACTCGAAATTGGAGTGGAAAATGCGCTGAAGAGAGTGTTCTTCTGACCGTTCTTCGAAGAAAGAAAAAATGTCTATTTTTGCTGGACCAACGTGTAAAAGGGTCCTAACGAATAGATTCAGATGAGGCTGTAAATATGATGAGTGGTCCGTTTTGCGGCTGACCTTTACCATTTCCATCTGCTTTGCTTGGAGATTTCCTCAGTGGCCATGAATGGAGATGTAGCTACGGTGGTAACGGCGGCCGCACCGATGGGTTCAGCAGAGCCCCAGTACGTAAGGGCTAAGACTTCTGTATGGTGGGACATCGAGAACTGTCAGGTCCCTAAGGGCTGCGATCCTCACGCAATCGCCCAAAACATCAGCTCCGCCCTCGTGAAAATCAACTACTGCGGTCCTGTTTCCATTTCCGCCTACGGAGATACTAATCGCATTCCCAACTCTATTCAGCAAGCTCTCTCCAGTACTGGCATCGCCTTGAATCACGTCCCTGCCGGTAATTCTCTTCCCCAGATACTGTTTCTCGTTCTAAGGGTTCATGGAAACCCTAGGGTTAGATTCTGTTATTTCTGTGATCATTGTTTGTTGAATTTGGTTTTTCTCCACCGGATTATAGGTCGGATGTGATTTTTCTGGTGTGATGCTTGAATCTATTGTAAGGGCTTTGGAAACATACCTTGTTCTTGAGGTGTTGGTGGTAGTGGGTTAATTGTTGGAGGCCTTCTTATGCCATCTTAATATCCAAGCAATTTCGGTAGCAAATTGATTAAGATTTGATCTATGAATAAACACACATATAAGTCAAATGACATTAATTGTGTGTGTGTATATATATTGTGCTGCTCTTTTTATTAGACTTAAGTTGGCTTCACCCTTTGGATCTAGTAGATAGGTGATCTTGATAGTCTTTCTTCTATCAGGTGTTAAGGATGCAAGTGACAAGAAGATTCTAGTCGATATGTTGTTTTGGGCGGTCGATAACCCTGCTCCTGCAAATTATTTGCTAATTTCCGGTGATAGAGATTTTTCTAACGCGCTTCATCAATTAAGAATGAGAAGATATAATATTCTTCTTGCACAGCCACAAAGGGCTTCTGCACCACTAGTTGCAGCAGCAAAGAGTGTTTGGCTTTGGATGAGTCTTGTAGCTGGAGGACTTCCAATATCCAGTGCGGAATCATCTCAACTCGTGAACGGTACCCTTACTTCTGACCCTCAAATATCTCAGAACTCTGGACTTGATCATAATCAGCAGACAGCACAAGCTATAGTATACAAACCTGAAAATGTCTGTTTGGGAAACAACAAACATAAAGGTAAATCTATACATAAAAACTCCAACCAACCAGTCCAATCCAGAGCCTTAAGCTCGCCTGTTTCTAGGCACGAGGAAAACCCTAATTTTTTAAACCAATCAAATCATATCCAAGCAAAGCAGTTTAAGAAAGCACCGCATGAATTCTTCGGTAATAGCGGTAATAGCAGTTCTGTAGCCTCTTCTAGTCAGTCTACTCCAAACCTGTTTATTGAAAATTACACTCATGCTAGGACTGATGGTAGTGTTTCAATGGGTAGTTCCTCGAGTTACCAGCCTCCTCACGTGAGGCAAAAAACAATGCAGCTCCATCCTCCTTTTCGGCCAGATTATGTTTTTTCTCCTAACCCCGTTAATCGTAATTCTTTCCCAGTCCCTACTCAACCTGATCTCTCTGCACCCAATATCAGTAAGCTGCATATCTCTGATCACCCCAATTCTGCTATAAATCCTAAAAATTTTCATCATCAAGCTAGTGAATTTAGACCACATACTACGTCTCAAAACTTTGCCAACTTTAACTCGCCAGACAAAGGCCGCAGTCAGTATGGTAGCCAGTCATTCCATCATGATGCGTTGAATAAACGACATGCTCGTGATGTAGAGCATGCACCTCATTCATCTTCCACCACTCTTGCTAGAAGTTCTTCTTATAATGATGCCTGGGGATCTCAGGGGCAACCACCACCTTCGGAGTACATTCAAGGCCTTATTGGAGTTATTCTTCTTACATTAAACACCCTGAAAATGGAAAAAATTAGTCCAAATGAGGCAAATATAACTGACTGCATCCAATATGGAGACTTGAGAAACTGCAATACTGATGTAAAAATGGCACTAAACAGTGCGATAGAGCATAATATGGTAGTGAAGCATAATTTTGGAGCTGTGCAATTGTATGTTGGTAAAACAGAAAAATTGTGGAAGTGTGTGAACCCTCTAGGTGGGCATCCCAATCAATACCAAAAAGCTATATGGGATAAGATTCAGAATTTTTTGGCTTCTCCAGCTGGTCGTTCTGCAATAATGGCTTCTTCTTGCAGGTGATGTGATTTCTGGCTTTCTAGATTTTGGATTTTAGTTTCAAAATAATAACTTCTGTTTCAATTGATTTGCAGATATCAAGCAGCATTGATTCTAAGGAACGAATGCTTAACCGATTTTGCCTTGGGCGATGTGCTTCAGATTTTGTATATGATAACCTCAATGAGGAAATGGATTACTCATCATATTTCAGGATGGCAGCCAATTAATATTATGCTAACAGAAGGTAATACATATGGAAGTTCAAGAACTGAGCTTTGATTAATCAACACAAGTACCCATAAAGCAAAAAGCTTTACCCTCGAACAGCTGATATGAAGGATGATTAAGGTGAAATATTAATCACATTGAAGGGAGTATTATTACAAAAGATACCAGAAGTTACTCGGATTACAGATGCTTAGGGCCTCAAAGGTTTGGTTATTCTGTTCTTTTCCATTTACATTATTAGAGAAAATTTCCACTTTCTGAACGGGGAGCAAGTCATCTACTAGTCTATGAAGATCATCCCAGGTGCAGGGCTGCCATTTTAAGTTACTTCCTCAAAGGAACGACTTTGTTCACGTGTTTCTCGTCTTCTCAGGGAGTTGTGCACTTGATACACTAGCATTGAAGCCGCATAAGTTCGTCATATATGGCACTGGAAAGAAATAGAATTCTCTTTTGTTTAGACTACACAAAGTTAGCTAGCTAAATGATGTCTTTTGACCAGTTTCAGTATCCTTGCGAAATCTGCATCAGGGCTTTGTATGTTACAACCATGCCATGTTTATTACTGCTTAAGGGAATGCCGGCAGTGGATCAGCTTGAAGAAGTCAGCCAGCGGATCCAACATGGTGCCATTCTCAAGCTTCTCTTTTCTTTTCTGTTCTCCATAGATATGGATGAAGCTCCTAAAATGTTCTTGTCTAGTTGTGTTACAGTAGGTTTCTGTACTCTGTCTGCTTATGGGATTGATCGTATGGGCACACCGATATCCCTTGAATGATTGTACTTCTTTCTACTGTCTAGAACAGATGAAACGTTTATATGTTTGAATGTTATGTGATAGACAATGTAAGCAAGGGACTTGGTTCACTTGCTTTTAAATGAATTCATAGTGCCTGATTTTGGGATGGGTCATGTTAACATTGATGCCTTTTCTTTCACCCAGCCATCTAAATTGGTTCAATCATTCAAAAGCGATCAAAAGCCAACTCCAAAACCCATATCATTGGTGCGGTGACGCCCGATTACTTCCTATGGCGGTGCAACTGTTATTGATGACGCCCAACAACTGGTGAACCATGCGGCGTGGAAGACAATGAGACAGCTTGACGAGCGATGCCTATTGTCACAACGTACCCACTTCTAATGTAATTGTGACATATAGCTCCAACCCATAAACGAGCCATGGTGGTGCAATTGTTATCGTTGACACTCGACTACTGGCACGGAAGACAATGAGACAACTTGACGAGTGATGCCGAACATACCCTCTTCTAATGTGATTGAGATGCATAGCTCCAAGCAAGCCATAAACATGCACATCGATTCAACTCTCTCTTTCGACCACAAATAGCTTGCACGAACAGTGATCCTCCACAAATCAAACCCATAGATTTTATTGATGGATGATATCAAATCCATAATCTTATTCTACTCTTAGACGACAACTCTATCCATAATAACGAGCTAGAATACAGAAGAACTCTGTTTCAAAATTTAATAATAGAATTACTTAAATTAGGATGATAATTGTTGAGAAAAACAAGTCCTATTTCAGGCAAACTTCATCACTATATAATCTTCCCATGCAAACCATTTTCTATCATCAGCTCCATTCAATATCATTTCAAAAACCAAAAAAAAAAAAAAAAAAAAAAAAAAAAAAAAAAAAAAAAAAAAAAAAAAAAAAAAAAAAAAAAAAAAATC